AATGGAAAAAAAATGAGGGTTGTTACACTTTCAGCATTCAGTTCAGACTCAGCTTTATGAAGTTTATTAACTAAATCTTGTTTAATTTTGCTGTGCTTTATTGCTTCTTCATCTGCCTCTTTTCTTTCAGATTCCAAAGTCTTTTCCAGTTCAAAAATTGTAGATTTCAAACCAGGATTTTCCTTTAACTGTTCAAAGTCTCTCTTTTGATTTCCTCTGAAATTACATTCATTTCTACGTAATACATTAATTTTAGCTTGAAGATATTCCTTTTTTTCATTAGATTTTTTAAGATCTTATTTCAATTCTTTATCCCATTTCAAATTAGCGTGATTTTCAAGAAACACATTCACATATTTATCTTTATAATCCTTCACACTCTTTTCCAATTCAGAAACCTTCTCTCCAGGTAAGGCAGTTACCGGGTAAGAAGATCAAGTGACAAAGTAGTTGGCCGAGGAAGATCTAATCTGGACGATATGTATCCGTATAATATGATCTCCGGCTAGGCTTGTGACGGGGGTACTTGAAATACAGACGCCTTGTTGTCCGAGGAAACTTGGCCTTGTGCGAGGAAGCTATGAACTCGGCTATGGAGGTATGCGAGTAATACCAGAATCCGGTCAAGGTGGTGAACAAGATGGCTTGAGTACGGATAAAGGGATGTCCGAGGATTCCAAATCCGGACAGAAGGGTGTCCGGATAACACTTTGAAAAAATGGTTAAGTCATGTCCGGGTAAAGCTTTGTAAGATATAGACTAGAATCCTGCTAATATAACATATAGAATGGCTAAGTCTTTAAACCGAGTAAAGCTTAAATCGATTAAAACTCACCAAAAACACAAAAATTTCAACTTTTTCACCAAAAATGGATCAAAATCAGATTTTTATGAGTTTTTAACAAGAACACAAATTTTTTCAAAAATCACTAATCTCATCAGATCTTGAAAATGGATGATCAAAACATGAAATTTTGTGGATAACAAAGATTCACGATTCAAAAACACACACAATGATCATATTTTTAACATCAAATCACCAAAAAAAAAATGAAGATTTACGTAGAAAAGTATGAGAAAGTTGAAGAACACTTCAAGAACACATAAGAAGATGAAGAACAGAAAGAGATTTTCCAAAAAATTTCAAATTTAGATGAAATCTATAATACGATCTCACTGCAAATCCGCTCTGATACCAATTGTTTGTCCCAATGATCAATCTTCATGAATCCTTCAATAATCAAGATAAATGGCAATCTTCATTCAAGAACGCTAGAGAGAAAAAGTCAAATTGTTAATGTGTATATTTCTCTCAATTATACGTAATATTACAAATGAGCTCCTGCTCACTTGTATAATTACAAAATCCCTTACAAGGGCCTATTTATGGGTTAAACTAGAAAAACACAAGTCAAAATCAAACTATGACTTACAAAGTCAAAACTTTCTAAAAAAATACGAAATAAATCTTTCAAGACGAATACAATAATATTTTAAAAAACAATCCTAACAATTCATCTCTTAACTATTCAGAGACTATCTTTTAATGGAACTATTAAAAGGTAAACAAACAACCCTAAGAAGCTACCTTATGTCCATCCAAATATATCTATACTATCTTATAAAGCATTTGGCTAAAACTTTTAAAAACTCTTAAAACTCTTAAACACGTTCATCCCAAACGATTTCACCCTTATCCGATTTCATCCCATATCTGAATTCGTKTAACTAACTACAGATAAACACAATCAAATACATGATAAACATCTCATTTTAAATATAATAAAAAATCTAAAATATAATTAGTATAATCATTAAATTCTAACAGAATACTTAATTATTATCTTTATAAAATTTATAATATTAAACCAAAAATAAATTGCTTTATTATTAAACTTAAATTAAATTATATAGAAAAAACTATATTCTATATTATAAATCATTTTACAAAAACTCTTAAAAACCATTTTTTATGCGTAAAATACTGTTTATTAATTCATATTACTTAAAAACTCAAGATTACAAGTAACTTGAGCGTAGATACAACTTATTAAAGCTCCATATCTGAATTCGTGTAACTAAATGCAGATGAACACAATCAAATACAATATAAACATCTCATTTTAAATATAAAAAATCTAAAATATAATTAGGATAATCATTGA